CGAGCGCTTGAGCCCGCGTTATTGATCGCATACCTGCGACGTAGCTTTTCGTCATTCAGCTCTGCCTGACACCATCGAATCACTTGGCAACCATATGGTGAATTTTTGAAGTTAGAAGGATCTTTTTTAACGACTTCCCTTCTCCTCGTTCTTCCAGCTCCAAACTATCTGACAGGATCAGATAACGTACCTGCTGGAACGACCAACGTGAAACAACCCGGAGATTCACACATCTGCTATTCAGGCCATCGTTAAACACGTTGCAGGTTTCACAAACAACAAGGTTTTCTTCCCTCGTAGTAAGTACCTGGTCAGTGGTGATATTGCAACAAGTGGCTTAATGGAATTGCATGGAACCCAGCGTGGTATTGCAGTTATCAAGGCGTCGATTCTGTAAGGCATAGAAATACACAATGCTTCACCAGTGTAGTGTGTTTCAAACTGCCCCGCTTTCAAAGATGGATGCCCGTTCGAAAACCTGAAGACCATGGGTGAGTACGTGGACAAACTGACCCAAATACGAGACAAAAGCAGTTGTAAAGGTCGCGCAGCATTCCAAAAGTTGAAAGAGTTACGCGGTTTGCGCTTATCAGTATTCGCTTGCCACACGTGAGATGGCCTACATGGGTGCCCTAGCTTGTGCATTAGAAGGACGGGCCAAGAGAGAATCTAACAATGGAAGATCTGCGGCGTCGGCTTCGCACTATTCAGCACCCGAGTTACTCAGTAGTTTCATATGTTGCTGACTTAAAACGAAATTGCCTACATACAGGAATATATGTGATACTGCTCACTATTGAGCAGGTTGCAACCTTTCGCCGCATTTTCTTGGAGTAACCTTAACTACTTTAGGAATCGATTGCATGCAAAACGGCCCTCGAGGCCACTAAACTAAGAAGATATGTGATATTCGTAGATAGCAGTGTGACTATAATACCCTATGTCTGTTCAATTTCGTAAAGGAATTTATCTGAAGATACAACCGACGCTGAACCCTAAAAGCACTAGAAATAATGCTCGTGTTGCAATTTTTGAAAATATCAAGTTTCGATGAATAATCTGTTATGAAATCCACAATAGAAACGAAAATAAAAGGTTTTACTAATAAAATACGCCATTGGGGCGCTAAGATATCATCAAATTTGGAAAATTATATTTTTTTAGTTGCAAATATACATTCA